TCTCCCTCTGGCTGCTGAACTCCAGACTGAAACTCGTCTTTCCTCCTTCAACTCCGGCTGAAGAGAAAAGGAGGAAGGACATCGCTGCAGCTAAAACTCAATATTGTTTGGTTTTCATTCATGCCATTAGCTTTTGGTATTCCTGCCAATTTATATTTGTCTTATTAGTTTTACTAAACTTAATTTTATTTGTATTTTTTCATTTATCTACCTGTGATGTTTGTTGTGAAGCACTTTGGTCAGCTGAGGCTGGAAATGAGCTACAGAAAGAAACTTCGACTTGTTCAACCAATCGCTGAGCTGCAAACCTCCATGTTAGCTAGCAGGAACGGCATCTTCCATTTTTCTCTGAAGCTCCGTTCGTCTGAATGTGAGAATTCAGGCTGATGGAGTTTATGTATATGAACCACCAATGTGCTAATAGTTAGCGTGAGCTTCTGCTAAACACCGTGTGGACATCTAGCGCTTTAGCCTCACCGGTCCAGCCAGGCCAGCAGGCTCTTGGCGGCGGCGATCAGCTCCACCACGGCGCTCAGGAACTGGTTGGAGGGCTGATGGGAGTTCTTGTTCTGGTAGGCCGGGTTCTTCCTGCGCTGCGTCACGGCGCCGCTCAGGTTGCGATGCGCCGCCCTCATCTTCCCCAGCAGCGTCTGCAGACAGTCTGACTCCAGGCTGCAGTTCTATGGGAGGAGACAAAGGACAGCTGGACTACGTTTCCCATGAGCACCAGCAGCACCTCCTCCTGTTGGATTCCTGAGTCGATGCTCCAAGAAACTCAAACACCTGAAAACAGCTGAGCTCAGGTAAACATGAGTCAGCAGAAAACCAGCCACACGTTGAGCTGCTGGCCGGTTCTGATGATGGATCAGCTGGTTCCTGTGGTCCGGACCAGCAGGATGAATGCCAGCAGCCCTTTGGGGAAGGGTGGGGCCGCTCTGCCAGAACCGCTCTGCCAGAACCGCTCTGCCAGAACCGCTCTGCCAGAACCGCTCTGCCAGAACCTCTCTGCCAGAACCGCTCTGCCAGAACCGCTCTGTCAGTGGCCCCATCGGTTTCCTGCAGGAATACCTGAACCTGAAATCCACCAGGAGTTCTACAGAGCCTGGACCGTTTGAGGTCCACACTGCAACTCAGAACCACCCCTTCCCGTTCCCCGGTCCCGGTACCAACCAGAGAGCAGAGCAGGTCCACGGCCTCCAGAACCAGCTCCTGGTGCCCGACCCGGGCCACGCCCAGTGCCAGCAGGTCCTGGTGGCCCAACCGGAGCAGCTGCTGCCCGCCGACCCGCTGCTGCCGGAACGCCGCCACGTACGGCTGCAGGCTGTCGTCCAGACCTGGAAACAAATGTTCACACCCAGGAAGTGTTCACATCCAGCAGGGGGCGCTGTGGGGAGGTGTTGACACCCCGCTCCGGTGCTGAGAGCAAACAGCTGCTGAGTCAATATTAACCGACGCCTCGCTGAAGAAGAGAGTCTGCTGAATCAGAACCGCCTGAAAACCCACCGGGCTCATCAGAACTTCCTTGTATTGGCTCCAGACCTGGAAACTACGGAGGGCTGATCCTGACGAAACTCTCAGAAAAATCTATAAATGGATTCAAACAGTAACTAATGGTCTAATTCTCTCTTTATTTCCTGATCCAAACGAACCAGAACCAGAACCAGAACATTCCCTCTGGGGTTGAAATGATTCCTCTTAAAATTTGTTGACCTGCCTCAAAGCTCCGTTAAATTGTTTTATTATTTAGCCGCCGTGTTCCGGCCGGGTCGCGCTCTGACTTCTGCCTGAGTTGTTGAAGAAAGCTAAGTGTTAGCAGCGCAGCGTCCAGTTTCAAGTTCGGCCTGGAAGGATTTTACTGATTCATGGTAACGCCTGGGCCTTTAAATGAACATCCTTAAAATGATGCCTGGAACCAGCTGGGAACCAACTGGGAACCAGCTGGGAACCAAATGGGAACCAAATGGGAACCAGCTGGGAAACAAATGGGAACCAACCAGTCGGGTCGTTTGGCGGGTCAGCAGATGCTTGATGAAGACTCCAGCATCAGGAAGATTCCTGCTGGGAATCTGAACCGGGTCAGGAGGGAAACCGGATCAGAACCTTTTGTTTACTTTCATTGAAGTTTGATATTAATAATTTTATTTAAAAAGAAAACAGAAACGGTTTGTAGAAAAGTTTTTTATCAAGACCCTGAGAATGCAGAACAGAACCAACCCGTCTGGGTCAGGGAGGTTCTGCTCATTCTAAAGGAAACATCCATCTGGTTCTGACCTGGCCCGGTTCCAGCAGAACCATCTGGGACGGGTCGGTGGCTCAGCAGGAAGCAGGATTTCCTGCTGAGCTGAACTCCTTGAATCCAGAGAGCTGGACAAACAGGAACCGACCCGGTTTGTCTGGGTCAGAACCAGAACACGTGAGGTTCTGCTGTCTGAGCCATCTCCTGAAGAATCGGGTCGTTCAGAACCTCTTAATCTGTGATGAGGAACGCCAGCTGTTGAGCGTGGCGGGTTTTGACGGGTTCTGGACTCTTCCTCCTTGCTAATGGTACCAGGAACCAACCGGGTCGCTGGAACCGCTCAGCTGAGGCGTTCTGCACCTGCCAGGAACCCGAGGAATGTCGACCCGTCTCAACATGTCGGCGTCGCTCCAACGCCTCCGGGATGGATCCGCCCAGCCGCTTCATTCTACAGAACCAGTACCAGGTTCTGGAGCGGTCCAACAGAGGCGTCTCTCTGGTTACGTTATGAACTTCCTCCTGGTTGTTTGTTTTTAAGCAGCCAAATCGGACCTGGAAACAGAACCGGCTGAAAGTCCTGACATGAAATGGTTAGCATTAACTTCCGTTTCATGGAGTTACAGTTAGCAGTTAGCAGAAGTGTTAGCTTCTGGTCATTTTTAATATGCTTAGCGGTGCAGCATTAGCTTCTGCTAACTGTATACATCAATTTGGCATTAGCATAGCTAAAAACATTTTCATCTAATTTGCAATTTTTGTGCAAAAGTTAATTTTCCATGACAACCATGGTGGCCATCTTGAAAAATATATTTTTTTAAAAGTATGGTTTCTATGGGTCCAACTATTTGTGATTTGACACAAAAAATTAACCTGTTATAAACATGAACAAATTTAGTGCAAAAATAACTTACTGGATGACCATGTGCGTAGCGGTTTAGCATCTTAAGATTTTCAGCGGCTAACGTTTTCGTTCCCTGGGAACATCTAGGCCAATCAGGTTCCAGTATTTGAAATGTTCTGACATCTGCTGCATCAACATAAGTCTCTGGTCCTAGTTTCTAGGCAGAGGGTTACAGGCTGTTGGTTTGGAGGGACAGAGGGCGGTTCTGATCCGTTCTGGGTCGTTCCTGTTTACCCTGTGATGAGCAGCCAGACCACACAGAGTGTTGGACCTGAAAAACACCTGATCCACATGCAAACCCCTCAGGCTGCTAACCGTCTGCACTCAGAGGCTTCTTCTGACTCACCGCAGCACTGACTGCTACTGGAGCATCACCATCCACAGCCACTCTGACTTCAGCTCCCTTCAGGATAAAGTATTTTTAATTGAGCTGAATAAAACTTCCTGTTTTATTCCTGACTTCACTTCCTGTTTCCATTTTAAATGTTTGAATCTCCAGCTGGTTCTGATGCTGTAAGAACACTTCCGGTTCGGTTAGAGTAACCGACAGCCAGAAGCTGATGGATTACCCAGCGGTTCGGATCCAGAGCCTGCTGAACTACCAGGAGGAATAACATCCCGAACCAGAACCATCAGCCTCACCTCTCATCCAGTCCTCCACCTGCTGCGGACTCCACCCGCTCACAGGCTCCATGTCAGAACCGGGCTGGACCCAGACTGGATCCGGCTCCCCGATCCGCTACCCGGACATCTTCTGATCGGAACCAATCGGAAGCTTCCACTCAGACTCCAAATCCAGGGAAAAGTTCTGCAGAACTCTGTCGGAACCGCTCTCTCTGAGTTTAAACCTCCTGAATCACTCTGGGGTTCGGATGGAAGTTCGGGTGAACTCGGTTCGAACCGCTCCTCCTGCACTCTGACCGCCTGAGGATCCGTAGAAGTTCGGACAGAGTTCGGGTCGAACCGAACCCGCCGCTGCGCTGCGTTCTGACCAAATGCTCCTCTAGGCAAGCTGCGCGCTGATTGGTTGTCATCGCGCAGTACTTGGACACGCCCCTTTGGGCTTTCCTCCAATCAAATGAGACGAATCCCCTCGCCCCCTGACCGAGGCGGTAAACAAAGCAGCTCAGTTCGACCCGGTCGGAGCGGTTCGGTTTCCCAGATGATTGAATTAATGTGTTTATTATTATCTGAGAAAAATGTGTTTCTATTATTTCCTGTGATTTTGGTTTAAAACCTGCCATTTTTCCTTTCTTCACAAACCTGATCTGACCTTCCAGAAAGTTTGAGTTCAAACCGGGTTTTCATCCGAACTTTAATTTTCCTGCTTTATGTTGCTGATGAACTCACCTGGATTCAGATTCGTCCCAGTCTGATCCCGGTTCCGGTTCGGTTTCTGGCAGTCTTCTTGGTAAACTCCTGTTTTTATTTCAGGTGAATGAACTGGAGCAGATTTGAACGGAAACTCTGCCCCCTGCTGGCAGCAGCGCCTGAGATACACCTGGATCCCAGGGGCCTCATGTACGAATCACTCATATTCACACAAGATGTGCGGCTCCCGGGACTTCGGCAAGATGGCGACGTGGGCCACGTACCACTCTGAGCTCCATTCGTGCAGCCCTCAACCAGCAACATAAACTGGCCCTTCACACATAATTTCATCTCCAAGTTGGTCCCGAACATCCACGCTCTAAAGTAATAAAGTAAATAAAGTTTATAGGTAATAAATAAATAAAGGTAATAAAGTTTTTAAAAAAGAAAAAACTAATTAAAACGAAAAAACAAAGATTATTGAACTGAACTTTTTCAGTTTTAAATCTTTTTTTTTTTTGCAGTTCCAAAATGATAATTTATAAAAAATAAAATTTAAACCAATTTAATATCCAATTTAGCTCCATAAATTTCAGTTTGAGTATGTCAAAACATAATTTGAAAACTGAAACAAAAAGATCAAAACTACTTTTCAGAGTCAAATCTTTCCTTACTTTTTCTTTTCAATTTCAACATTTATTTATTTTTTTTACAACCGTTTTGGTCTCAATTTAGCTCTATATAATTGGTTAACTGTTCTGTATTCTAATATTATTGGCACATATTTTCTGAAAGAAGTTTGGTTTTCGATTAGCTTTTGTTAGAAATGTTTGTTCCTACACAAACAAAGTTAAACATGTCTATTTGAAGTATCTGGTGTGGAAGTGTTTCCTTCAGCTCCAGGAGTTAGCCTGATCCCACTGCAGCGTTGCTCTGAGTTTAAACTGATCTGGGTTTGGACCGGTCCACACGATGAAGCAGGGAAACAACTCAAAGAACAAAAACATGATTATGAACTTTTTACAGATGATAAAGTGACTTTTTATGTTTGGCAGTTTTATTACTAGTATATAAATGCTCAAGGAGACAAAACATTTATTGTATTTTATTATAATTTTAAATTTAAAGAATTTGTCTAAATTACTGTTGCTTGTAATACCTTATTTTCACCAAAAGATGGCGACAAAAAGCAGCACTCGGGTGTAATAAAACCCTAGGCAACAAAGATTGTCTATAAACATGATGTGCGTCAGTTTTTACAGTGTTTACCTGAAAAGATGAGTTTCTTTAAAAATATTAAAAGGTATTTAAATTTTGTCTTTATAAAACATATGTAAATCAATTGTATTAGAAATAATTAAACAACGCAGATGTAGCCAAAATTAACAAAAATTCAAGTAATGAAAATGATTGTGTAAAAATAACCCTCATGATTCTATTCTATTTTAAAGTTTAATCTGCTTTTAGCCTGTTAAGTATTATTGACCTGAATATATAAAGGCCTAAATAAGTTCAAAACTTGAAAATTAATAATGTCTATAAATAAACTCTGTACAACACATAAGAACTATGCAAAACTTTATCAATCCTCTTAAAATATATTTCTACTCTTTCTGCTCATGTCCTCTCTCAGAAATCACCTCAGAGTGAGCCCTCTCCCCAGTATCTGGTCATGGGTTTATTGCTCGGAGTGAGCCCTCCCCGCTCTGTAACAGATCGTCTCCCCAGATCCGCTGCGTATCGCTGCCGCTCGGACCGTCGCCGTAGTTTGGCGGAGAAAAGCGGCTCCATCCTCGGCCTGGAGCTGCGTGGTCCGGCCGGAGGACCGACACCTTTGGACTCGCAGGTATTGCTGCAGGAGCCGGTTGGTTCCGAGGGAACAGTTCGTGTAGGGCTCGGTTCTGGATGGACACTGTGAAATCGGAGGTAGTTTTGAACTTTTTCTTTTTTCAAACTCTAAAACCCAGTTTGAGGATCGAGCTGCTGTCATACATGCTGAAGTTCATTTCTTCCTCTGTGGTAATTCATTCATTACGGTTCTCAGCCGAGTTCTGGTCCAGATGTTTCCAGATGTTCTGCTGGTTCTTAAAGAGTTAAACCGTCGATGGTTCGTGGAAAAATCTGAATGAACCTGTGACCTTCCTCACATCGATTTTACTTTATCGAAATGATGAAATATTAGAGAGGAGGATGGGATAATTCACCAAAATCAGTCTTCCATATAACTATTGTTCTTCTGAAGTTTAGGTTTTGTGTTTGTGCAGAAACTTTAGTGGGACGGAACCGGATCGGGTCGACGGATCTGGTCCACCACAATACGTCTGTAGGAAATAAATGTGGAAAACATGGTGACTCGTTTTGAAAAGCTTTTTGTGTCCAACAGGATCCTGAAATCTGTTTCTGCAGAGGAAACGATGATCTGGACCCAAAGATTCACTAAACAAACCAGACCGAAAGTCCAGGATGTGAAACCTTCATATTAAACACAAACTGACAAAAAGTCACTAAGCTGCTGTTGGTGAGGAGAACCGGGTTCTGAACCTTTCTGTTAAACATTGGAGAACCCTGTCAAAGCTTTTTCATTTAGATAGATAATCCTCCTTCCTCCTCTCAGATTCCCAATCCTAAATCCTGCCTCAGATTATCAATTCAACTAGTTTAATGTTTCACTTTGATCAGAGTTTTAGTTGAAAGTTAAGAAATCTGAAATGTCCTGGAAAGTTCTGCAGGAAAATATCCCACTCCAGGTTCAACAGATCAGATCCAGTTTGTTCAGATGAACAGGGCCGGACTGAGGAGGGTGTGAGCCTTAATCATCGTTATACAGTTATATATTCCCTTTGGGTGGTCCTACCCTCCTACCTACCCTACCTACCTACCCTACCCTCCTACCTACCCTACCTACCTTCCTACCTACCCTACCCTCCTACCTACCCTACCTACCCTCCTACCTACCCTACCCTCCTACCTACC